AAATAAAAATACCCTACCCCGCACCTCCAGAACAATAAGTAAAGGTCAAGAATCGACAAAAGAATAAATACAAGCAGCCAAATAAATACACCAAAAAAGCTCAATTTCACTAGTAATAAAAATGTAAGGTAAAGTAATGACATAACACTTTCTAACTATCAAATTGGCAAAATTTTTAAAAACAATTCTACCCAGTGTTGGCAAGGATGCAGGAAAACCAGCACATGCATTGGTGGTAGATATGAAAATTTAGGCAACCTCTCTGAAATGTAATTTAGCAATAATCATAGATCCAAAACCTTTTAAAATGTGCAACATACTTAGATCTAACAATGCTGTTTCTTTCTTTCTTTTCTTTTTTTTTTTTTTTTTTTTTACAGAGAGGAAGGGAGAGAGATAGAGAGCCAGAAACGTCAAATGAGAGAGAAACATCGACCAGCTGCCTCTTGCACACGCCCCACTGGGGATGTGCCCACAACCAACGTACATGCCCTTGGCTGGAATCGAACCTGGGACCCTTCAGTCCGCAGACCGACACTCTACCACTGAGCCAAACCGGTTTCGGCTAACAATGCTGTTTCTTATGAAATTTATCCCAAGCAAACAGTCAGAAATGTACAAACAGGATGTACACCTACATGTCAGAATCCTATCTAATAAAAGAGTAATATGCAAATTGACTGTAACTCCAACACACAAGGTGGCTGCCCCTATGTGGTCAAAGATGGCTGCCTCCATGTGGACACAAGATGGCCACCACAAGATGGCCAGCAGTGGAAGGCAGTTGGGAGGGACCAGGCCTGAAGGGTATGGCAGTTGAGGAGGGGATCAGGTCAGTAGTGGAGGGCAGTTAGGGGTGACCAGGCCTGCAGGGGAGGGCAGTTAGGGGCAATCAGGCTGGCAGGGAGCAGTTAGGCATCAAGCAGGCTGGCAGGGGACTGGTTTGGGGATGATCAGGCTGGCAGGCAGAAGCGATCACAAACCCCCAGATTTTCTGTCACTTCACTGACACCTCCTTCACCACAGACCCACTTTTCTTCTCTGCCTACACTCCTCTCTATTCTTTCTGGGTGATCTCACATAGTCTGTGGCTTCAAAAGGCAAGTACATTCTGAGGATTCTAAAATTATTCTTTTTAGACCAACTACTGACTTGATAAAGTAGAACTACTGATTTCTCACACACACACCCCACATACACACACACCCAAAAGCCTACTCACTCCATAAGCTCTCCCCAGGAAAAGGTAGCACCATCACCCAGTTGGTTACATCAAAATTTCATAAGTCATCCTTAGCTTCTCCTTCCCTCAGACTCCACCGTGAATTCGTCAGTAAGTCCTAAACAACTCACCTCCAAAACAGATGGGAGTTCAATCTTCTTTGACCACCCCCACACCCCTAGTTAAATCTCCCTTCCTTTGCTCAATAGCCAAACCTTCAACCAGTACTCACAGCATCTCTCTAAAGGATAAACCAAATCATGTCCCTCAATGTCTCATAGGAGTCAAACACAAGTCCTTACAGGTCCCTCATCGTTAGACCCACAACTTCTCTGACTCACCTGCCTGCACTCTCCCCTTCACCAGCACCCTCTGGCTAGCCTGGCCTACTTTCTGTCCTTCAAGCATGACCTATCTGTTCCCATCTCATGACCTTTGCAGCTGCCTTTCTTTCTGCTTAAATTGTCTTCCCTTATCTTCAAGTGTCCAACTTCTTGTCATCATTCAATTTTCAACTCAAGTGTCATCGGGTCATCAAAGCCTGCCCTACAGGTAACCCCGGTCACTCTCCACATCTTCCTATTTTATCTTTTCCACAGAAGCTGTCAATTTCTGAAATGCACTTTTGGATTAGAATATAGTACTATTGTCAACCTCCTTCCAGTGGAAGATACTCTTCCCAGTGGAGTGACTCCTCACTTAATCTTCATGGATAGGTTCTTGGAAGTGTGTCAAAGCAGCATATAGCAAAACCTCTTCTTATCACAAGCTCATAAATATAAAGTTCCTAAAGCATCTCATCAATGTTGTAACGAAAGACCTGCTGTAATTTCTTTAAGGTGAAAATGCTGTCTTTTTTACCACTTATCCCCAGAATGAAAACTGATGCTTGACAAACAGTAAGTACTAAAATATTTGTTCACCAATTGGAAGACTATTTCATAATTTAAAATCTGGACTGTGATAACCTTGACATTAGTTATTTTATCATTATACTATCAGAAATGGGAAGAACTGCCGAAACTGGTTTGGCTCAGTGGTAGAGCGTCAGTCTGTGGACTGAAAGGTCCAAGGTTCGATTCCGGTCAAGGGCATGTACCTTGGTTGCGGGCACATCCCTGGTAGAGGGTGTGCAGGAGGCAGCTGGTCGATGTTTCTCTCTCATCGACGTTTCTAGCTCTCTATCTCTCTCCCTTCCTCTCTATAAAATATCAATAAAATATATATATATATTTTAAAAATGGCAAGAACTGATAAAACTATCAAGAATCTGATTATAGAATGGCTTTTTAGATCTCTTTCCTACTCTATTGACTATGACTCCTTAATGCTAGTATATATTAGAAAATGATTTAAATGTCTACTAACAGAAAACTGACTAAATAGATGAGATATAGCCATCCAATGGACTACTATGTATTAAAGAGAACAAAATTTGATGTACAAAGCTAACGTGGAAAGCTGTGCTAGCAATATGGCTAATGGAAAAGATCAAGGTACAGATCTATATAGACTAGAGGCCCGGTGTACGAAATTCATGCAAGAGGGTGTGTATCTCTCAGCTCAGCCTGCACCCTCTCCAATCTGAGATCCCTCTCACAATCCAGGACTGCTGGCTCCCAATTGTTCGCCTGTCTGCCTTCCCGATTGCCCCTAACCACTTCTGCCTACTAGCCTCATCACCCCCTAACCATTCCCCTGCCAACCTGATTGATGCCTAACTGATCCCCTGCCAGCCCGATTGTCCCTAACTGCCCTCCCCTGCCGGCCTGGTCACGACTAACTGCCCTCCCCTGCCAGCCTGGTCCCCCACAACTACTCCTCTGGAGGCCTGGTCCGCCCCAACTGCCCTCCCCTGCCGACCCAGTAACCCCTAACTGCCCTTCCTTGCTAGCCTCATTGCCCCTAACTGCTCTCCCCTGCAGGCCTGGTGCCCCCCAAATGCCCACCCCTACAGGCCCGTTCACCCCAAACTTCCCTCCTCTGCCTGCCTGTTCACCCCTAACTGTCCTCCCCTGCAGGCCTGATTGCTCCCAACTGCCCTCCCTTGCAGGCCTGGTCCCCTCCCCAACTGCCCTACCCTGCTGGCCATCTTGTGTGTTGGAGTGACAGTCAATTTGCATATTACTCTTTTATTAGATAGGCTAGAGGCCTGGTGCATGGGTGGGAGCCAGCTGGTTTTGCCCTGAAGGGTGTCCCAGATCAGGGTGGGGGTCCCCTTGGAGTATGGAGCAGCCTGGGTGAGGGGCGGAGTGGTTTGCAAGCTAGTCACATACCCCAGCAACCCAAGCATAGGCCAGGGCGGCTGGAAGCAGGTATCTGGGACTTATTTATCTTCTATAATTGAAACTTTGTAGCCTTGAGCAGAGGCCAGGGCCGGCCAGGGTGGGCGGGAAGCTTGGCTTCCTCCATTGCTAAGGGCAACCCAAGCCTCCTGCTCGCTCCAGCTCCATGGCAGCCACCATCTTAGTTAGATTCGCTCAGCCAGAAGATGGGCTCATGGCTGGTGAGCGCAACCGCCACAGGCTGGGATAAGAACAAGCAGTGCCCGGTGCGATTCGGGCTCCTTCCTAGCCGCCTTGGCACACTGCGACATCCCCCAATGGATCCTGGACTGCGAGAGGGATTCCACAGGGATCAGGCCTAGGCCAGCAGCTGGACATCCCCCAAGGGGTTTCAGATTGCAAGAGGGCACAGGCAAGGCTGAGGGATAGCCACCCTTCCCCCCAGTGCACGAATTTCATGCACCAGGCCTCTACTATTCAATGAGGTTCCTGTTGACTGGCTATGCACAGGAATATTTCTAAGTAAATTCTACTAAAAGTGTATCTCTCCAAAATAAGGCAGAAGCTGAACTTATCATTATTAGAAAACCAAAAATTGGCAGAAACTACTTTTGACTTTAGTAATTCAGAGCTCAGCTTTTTGTATTTTCCTCTTTAAAGGCTTTAAAACTTCTAACTTAAATACATCACCTATTTTTTAAAGTGATGCATTATCTAGTAAGGAAAGAGGTATGTGTCAGGCGTCTTATGAGGACAGTCAGAAATACAGTATTGTTGACTTGTAGGTTGGCTCACCATTTTGAATCCCTTTCTCTAGTCCTATCCTCTATAAGACTAGAAATGCTTCACACATTACTTGCACAATCTTCCGTGCAGCTTGGCATTGTGGAGAGACATGGGATATGTGACACAGGCTCCATCAATACATATGATTAAATCTTGGACATGATTTTGCTTTCCTAATTATAAGGAACAGATACAACCAATACCACCCTTTCACCATCAGTCATGTCTTGAATATAGATGTGATGTTTGCAACTACAGCAGCCATCTTCTAACATGCCAATATGCAGGCAAAAATATGCAAACAATCGGGGCATCTGTTGGCATCACTCAATAAATGAACCTTCCCTGTTACATAATAAAAGTAAACCTCCATTTGTCTGAGTAAACCTCTTAGTTCTGTTACCTACAACCAAAGAAATCCGTAGCTGATGTTCCTGAGAATCTATTTTTAAAAGACACTTAAAGAACTCAAATTCTATGCAGAATTAGAAGACTTTTGTAAGTCAGTAGTATAAACTGTAAACCAATTCCCTTCCTTTGCAGTCTCTATTCTGAACTTTTAAATAAAAATAAAAAACACTCAAAGAAAACAGAAAAATGGGAAAATTGTTGGTCAACATCAATGCCATAAAAAACATTTCAGAATGAAACATTCAGAAATTATACACACAATAAAGATAAACTCACAGAGTGAAGCTGAAGTCCAATCAGTGCTGGGGCTGTTCTGGACTAATGTTCATTGTTCGATAAATTTCCTTAAGTAATAACAGGGCAGTATCTTCAGATTCCCTATAAAAAAAAAAGTCCACATGTTCTTAAGAGACAATTAGACGTAATCTCTATGCATAAAGCTGGGAAATGCAGCTTTTATTCTATCAACTCTCCTGAAGAAGGACAAATGAAAAACAAGTAGTGCAATCTCAAAGCTGTCCTTAAAAACTGGATGGACACCACTCAGCTGCAAACCATCCCACTGCAGCTCTTCTTGCTGAGAGCGAGTACAGAAAGGGACGCTCTTCTAAGTCCTTCCTACCACGCCCCTCCTGTGAAAGGAATCCCTGCAGACACAGTCTGTGCTAGCACCAAAGGCCTCTAGTCAAAGGCAGGAGACCTACTGCCACCTTGTGGGTAACTGAACTAAAGGGAGGAAACATTAACTTCTTAACGAATGATAAATCAGTAAGAGTCTCACTAGTACTACAACTGCTTCCTGTGCTAGCACCTAAAGGCCACCTGAATGTTAGCAAAGAAGAAAGTACTTACCAATAGCACAAGTGACTCTGAAGAGCGAAAAGATATTCATTAAAACTCTCTATTGGCTTTTCTTGAAGAACGTAGTCAATTCGACGGCCTCCGTTTAGCATTCCAACCTTTCCTAAGTAGTCCTCTTCCTTGGAAAAATCTGGGCTTTCAGCAACCTTTTCTGCTAGAATTTAAACCATTTCAATATCAAAGTCAATCACTTTATCATTATTCTTTGACTTTAGCTGACTTTCTGGGCTCAGTGTGAATATTGCTTGACACACGTAGCAACCTGGGGAGCTACCAGGCTCACTTCCCATTCCTCCAAAGAGCCCGGGGAAGCAGGGCTGGTTACCAGAGAGAGGAGAAAGAGCCCATGAGCTGACAGAACTTTAGGAGAAAAGGGGTGAGAGAGCATTGCAGAAAGAAAGGAAATAGAATTAGAATCTGAAAAACTCAAAAACATCATGGCACAATGACCTGACATTGCGGTCAAGTCCATAACAACACAGGTAAACAACAGCATCAGGAAAGGTCGTTTTTCCAAATGTGTCTTTCAAGTGCCTGAACATAAACTTGGTTCTCAACTCTGACCTTCCACTCTGGTCTTTGGAATCTCAATGAAACTTAACATTGCAGAGTAAAAAGTTCAGCAACTATCAGGTAAAAACCTCGTTAGAAAGGATGACATGCATTTTCAAGTATATAGTTTAGCACAAAATATTCTTTTATAGAAGGAGTCTTTACATCTTAACAAAGAAGACTAGAATAAAAAGCATAATTAATGATTTATGGGTTACATTTGGGAAAACAACATTTTGAACAACTGGAAAAGGCCTTAAATATCAAATTTACCTTCAACTACTTGCTTTTCTTCTTCTTCTTTGATTTGATTGGCTACCTTCTCCAATTCTTCTTGCAGCTGAGTTGAAGAGGTATGAGCACGGGCAAACTCATTTAAAGTTTGCCAGGCACTTTTCAGAGAGCTAATAAAACCCTGCTTCAAATCTGATCCCATGCGAGAGAGACTGTCTTTCAACTCTAAAGAGATGAAGATAACACATCAGGTTATTAATCAGTGGGTAAAATTCTGCACCACAAAAATTAAAAATAAAGTTAACATTATTCACAGGCAGGGTGAAAAAGCCTAGTCCTCTCTTAAATGTCATAGAGATCAAGTATCTAAACCAAAAACTTCCAACATGTTAAAATGTTTTGAGGAGTCAAAACTGGTTTGGATCAGTGGATAGAGCGTCTGCCTGTGGACTGAGAGGTTCCGGGTTCAATTCCAGATAAGGGCATGTACCTTGGTTGCGGGCACATCCCCGGTAAGGGGTGTGCAGGAGGCAGCTGATCGATGATTCTCTCTCATCGATGTTTCTGACTCTCTATCCCTCTCTCTTCCTCTCTGTAAAAATCAATAAAATATATTTTTAAAAAATTTCTCATTTTAACTCTAAAAGAGTTAAATTTATTTTAAAAGCATGATGAAAGAAAAGAAAAAGAAAGAAACTGTCAAATAAGAGGGCATGATCATCCGGAACCGGTTTGGCTCAGTGGATAGAGTGTCGGCTTGGGGACTGAAAGCTCCCGGGTTCGATTCCGGTCAAGGGCATGTACCTTGGTTGCGGGCATATCCCCAGTAGGGGGTGTGCAAGAGGCAGCTGATCGATGACTCTCTCTCATCGATGTTTCTAACTCTCTATCCCTCCCTTCCTCTCTGTACAAAATCAATAAAATATATTAAAAAAAAAAAAAAAGAGGGCATGATCACTTTTTCTTCTTTTAAGCCTTTGGGTAATATACACCATTAACAGACATAAGAGACACTTAAACCCCACTTAGTAGAATCAATGGATGTTTTCAACATGAAAAGTCAGTCTTGTTATTAAGGAAAAAAATACCCACTTGAGACCATCAAACTTATTTCTTTCTTTCTTTCTTTCTTTTTTTTTTTTTTAATATATTTTATTGATTTTTTTATATAGAGAGGAAGAGAGAGGGATAGAGTCAGAAACATCTGTGGGAGAGAAGCATCGATCAGCTGCCTCTTGCACACCTCCTTCTGGGGATGTGCCCGCAACCAAGGTAAATGCCCTTGACCAGAATCGCAGGCTGATGCCCTATCCACTGAGCCAAACCTGTTTCGGCCAAACTTATTTCTTGATGATTTGGTCGTTAGTTCAAATGCTACTCTGCTTCTCAATTTCAAAGATTATAATCAAATTCTATCAATGTGTAGGCATCATATCACTTTATTACCACCTTCCCTGATTCCTACATGTCTCAGCAGTTAGAATGTCATCAAGGAATAAAGTCATCAAGGAGAAGAAACTCATCATAACTTTCCTTATAGCACCATCAAATATTTAGTAAACAAGTTCTCAACATAGTAGGCACTGAACATTAATTCTGTAAGAAAGAACTTAGTGTTAATATTTTAATATTTAGGGGAAAGAAATAAGTTTTACCAGTATAATATGTACTTTTTACCTAAATGAAGTCTTTTTCTGCCTTTGTGATGTGGAATGAGAACTGCTTTTAGGTCCAAATCAGGAACAATCATAGGTTCCAGTCTATATGCCACTGGATCAAGCTGTAAATAGAAAAATGGAAATTTATTTTAAAAAATCTATTTTATTTTGAGTTATATACCTTAGCTGGGTTAAAGAAAAACAAAAACCAGCCGAAACCGGTTTGGCTCAGTGGTAGAGCGTCGGTCTGCAGACTGAAAGGTCCCAGGTTCAATTCCAGTTTCTTTCTCATTGACATTTCTAGCTATCTCTCTTCCTTCCTCTCTGTAAAAAATCAATAAAATATATGAAAAAAAAACAAAAAACAAAAAACCCAAACACATACACACAAAACTGGCAAACCAGACATTATTTTTTTCACACCTATTCAAATACTGGTAATTGTAAGAAGAAATTCAAGTTTGTAGGTAAAATTACTTTGCCACAAAGCAATATAATTATCTAAACAGATAAAAGGGTGATATGCTAATTAGACCCCATAGACTGGATGTCTTCTGGACAAAGTCACAGTGGTGGGGGCCAAGGCAGAGACAGTTGGTTAAGGGCGATCAGGCCAGCAGGGGAGCAGTTAGGGGCGATCAGGCAGGCAGGCAGTGTGGTTAGGGGCGATCAGGTAGGCAGGCAGGCAGGCAGGTGAGCAGTTAGGAGCCAGCAATTCCGATTGTGAGAGGGATCCTGGATTGTATAGGGTGCAGGCTGGACTGAGGGAACCCCCACCCTCTATGAACAAATTTCGTGCAAGCCTCTAGTTTCCTTGAAGAAAGCCTTCTTGGTTGAAAAGTTTATTGGAAAGTATTGGACTGTATCTATAAGAACATAGTACTTGAGTTGTACAAAATCCAAATCAGTTATTAATTCCTAAGAAATAAGACTCTGAGAATCTATTAGGATAAAGAGTACAACTTCTTCAGCTTCAAAAAAGAAGTTTATTCAATTCACTCACTGGATGATAAATATTGAAGAATCCTTTACAGGTAGGAAGCCTGAAGTTCTCATCTATCCGATCCACTCCTCGAATAGTCAGAAACATACCAACTGGAGATCCCAAGGCAAAGAAAATCTCTGGTTCAAAGTCTAATGAGTTATAAACAACAGAAACCTAGAAAGAAAAAAAAGAGCAATAAAAAATTATCATAAAGTGAAATATATTAAGTGAAAACTGCATGTAATATAGAACATCATGGCTGAGCCTCGGCTACTATAAACGTTAAAAAAAAACTTACATTAGCCTATAGTTAGGCAAAGTCATCTAACAAAAGCTGTTATGTTTTGTAATAAACTGTTGACTATCTCATGCAATTTATGTGAAAACACAAAACCTACAAAACAATACACATTGAACTGTGGGCCCTCGTGGTGGCCTGGCTACCTGGCAGCCATGTTCCCCACCACCACCCAGCATCACAGGACAGTGTGCTACCACATATGCTAGCCTGAGAACAGACCAAAATTCTAAATTCAAAGTTCCGTTCCTACTAAATGTGTATCACTTCTGAACCAGCATAAAGTTGAAAAATCATGCGTGGAAACATCATCAGTTGGAGACGGTGTGTACTAATGAGGGTGATGGGGAGAGAGGCAATCCTCTGTGTTATTTAACTAAGCTAGAGAAAAGAAAATATTTTCCTTTTTGAAAGAAACCATAAGGGAGAGCATACACATGCACAGGTTTGAAAAAAATCTGTAAGTAATGGGCCCACGCAGTGGGAATGCCAACAGCCACAGCCGTTCAAGCTGCGAGTAGCAACAACTACCAATGTTTTCTTTTATGCATCCTTTGGCCCAGCTAACCTTCTAGTCACTTAACTGAAAGAAAGAATAAAGAATGTGCACAGAAAGTTTAGTTTAAAACTGTTCATCACTGGATCACTTACAAGATTAAAACACTGGGAAGATCCTATATGTTCAATTTTATGGGCTGTCCTCCCAAAAAAGACCTTATTTGGCAATAGTCTTAAACTGATAATTAAGCTAAAGTAAGGTCTTTGTGAAGGCCCTGATACAATATAACTGGTGTTACTATAAAAGGGTAAATTTGGACGCAGACAGAAATGCACAAAGGGAAGATGATGTGAAGACAGGAGAATGGTCTGTGAAAATGGAGGACTGGAGTGATGCATCTATGAGCCAAGGAACATGTGACCAATCAACAGAAACTCAAACGAGGCAAGGGAGAGCTCCTTTCCATGGCCCTGCTGACACCTCCACCTTGGACTTCCAGCCTCCAGAAACATAAGAATAAATCATATGTTGTTTTAAGCCACTCAGTCTGTGGTACTTTCCTAAGACAGCTATGTGAAAACACAAAACCTACAATACAATACACAACATCCAATAGGTAAATGTCAGAATAAAGCACCATTTTTCAAAACAGTGAAACAATGGTCATTAAAAATAAAGCTTTATAACAATGTTTACTGACACAGAATATATTCCTAATATACACAGTTGACCTCTGAACAGCTCCAATGTGAACTGTTGTGAAAGGGTCAACTATATATTGTTTGAAAACAGCAGTGTAAGGTTTTAGTAAAGCATTACATGTAGTACTTTACCATATTTGTTAAAGTATATGCACAAATAAAAGTCCAAAAGGTCTTCTTCAAGCAGCTAATGGCAGTTAGTTCGGGTTAAGGAAATTCCAGTTACATTTTAATCTTCATTTGCTTAATCAGTATTTCTTGGCTTTCTGATCACAAACGATGCATGCTGTTGCTGTGGTTGGACTGCTCAGGAACTTTTTGAGTAACAAATCCAACCTGCCCACCTCAGCCCACCCACCATGGAGATGGCATGTGACTTGGGCTGGGGCAATCAACCTGTGCCCCCTTCTCCAGGCAATAAGAATTGGTACCCCATGGACTTGTGATTTAAATTACATCAAATAAAATCCCTCCTTGAAATTTTCCTAACAGGATGTACTATCAGGGCAGATTCCTTTTCCTTGTGACTATAAATAAAGCTGTAGGGAGATGAGGTCAAAGCTACTGAGAACGGTGATTCCAGTTTTGTAAAGAAGGCCAAGTCCCAGGGAAAGGCACACAGTGCGTGTCCTGGTGGCATGGAGCTCACGGCCCCACACATCTCCCACCCCTGATTCTTCCCTCACAGGGAGGGGAGAGAATATCTGCCTTTATTTGCTAGTCTGCTCAAATATGCTCATGTTTTAAAAAAGAGAGACATTTTTAAAAGTCAATCTTTATGAATGAATTTGGTTTGAAAGCTTGGACAAGCTCTAGCAAACATCCAGTTCCATTTTCTGCCATCTTGATATCAGTCATGACCTCACTTATAATAATAGAATCTTATTTATAACTTAAATATGCTGAAAGTAACATCCAAAAGAAATTTCAGACTTCAGCCGAAAACGGTTTGGCTCAATGGATAGAGCATCAGCTTGGGGACTGAAGGGTCCTGGGTTTGATTCCGGTCAAGGGCATGTACCTTGGTTGCGGGCATATCTCCAGTAGGGGGTGTGCAAGAGGCAGCTGATCGATGACTCTCTCTCATTGATGTTTCTAACTCTCTATCGCTCTCCCTTCCTCTCTGTAAAAAATCAATAAAATATATTTAAAAAAAATTCAGACTTCAAAGCCAGTGATACAAGAATATCAAAGTATATTATTAAATGTTCCATTATCTATTACTTGATCGATTTTTAAAGGAATGTTTCCCCAAGGAAAGCACAATGAATACTAAAAACACATAATTTAAGTGAATACAGCAAGTTCTCTCACAGAAACTGAAATATATTCTGAGCAGAACTTTCTAAGTACTGCCAATTCTGTTATTGGCTATGATAGAAAAATGCTGTAAGAATTGATAGAAAGCTAAAATAAAGAGAATTTCAAAAGTTATATGATGTATTCAGTACACACTCAATCTTTTATTTTGAACATTATAAAGGAAGCATACAATTTTTATTAGAATCCGTATTCTCTACCCCTCCTATAACTGAGGAGTAAACAGTTAAATAATAGACAGATATGTGATGATGATGATGATAAAGATACGTGACTTCAGCCGAAACCGGTTTGGCTCAGTGGTAGAGCGTCGGTCTGCGGACTGAGGGGTCCCAGGTTTGATTCCAGTCAGGGGCATGTACATTGGTTGCGGGCACATCCCCAATGGGGGGCGTGCAGGAGGCGGCTGGTTGATGTTTCTCTCTCATTGACGTTTCTAGCTCTCTATCTCTCTCCAAAATATCGATAAAATATATTTAAGAAAAAAAAAAAAAAAGATACGTGACTTCAACATAACAGATGCAGCCCTCGTCACTGTGTGGACTTACCTGCCCAGTGCCAACGTCAAAAGACTCATAATCCACATGCACAGAAGACACACAAGCACCGACTGGAAGTCTCCTCTTAGACTCGCTGGATTCTGAGGGGAGAGAAGCCATTTCTTTGGCTTTCTGAGCGCTTCCTTCTTGTCCTTTTGTCAAAGCCGCCATCGCTGCCTTCTTTTCTGAGGCTGCTTTTTTCTGTTCCTGTAAAACACCAAGATTTCATTACATAACCTTGAGGAAAGGTTCAGTTATGAGCTCTCACCTCGACACATGCTCACACAATATTAGGCAGTGATCAGTAATTTCTGAGGCACAGTGACATTGTGTGTCATTAGAGCAATGTTCCTTTCAGAGACACATACTGAATATTTAGGAAAGAAATGCATGTCTAAAATTTATTTTAAAATTCTTTAGAGAAAGAGATTAAGAGGCAATGAAAAAAACAAAACAGCTACAATTAAGCCTAAATATAAATATTACTAGAGGCCCGGTGCACACTGTAAGGAAGGTGGCCGATGGGGCCAACCTCCCACAGTCCCTCCCTGGCCACACCTGGGGCAGCGCTGGGGCTCGAAGAGCATCTGCAGAGTGAGTGGTGTCCCCCCAGCAGGTGGGGTCCCTCGGCCTGGCCTGCGGGGATCAGGCCAAAACTGGCAGTCCAACATCCCCTGAGAGATCCCAAAGTACAAGAGGGCCCTCTACAAAGTTGCCGTCACTCAGCAGCTCCTGCACTGAGCATCTGACCCCTGGTGGTCAGTGCACGTTGCACCTACTGGCTAGCTGGCTGGTCACTTAGCCTTTTCTATATATAGATCATTCTACTGTTTGTAATATTTTATAGTAAAAAGTTTAAAACGGCCAACTTCTTCCTTTTAGATCCAAACTTTAGATAGTTTAGAAATATTATAGAATTTTAAAATACATACTTCCATAAAGGTGTGTAACCTAGGAGAAATTCATTCAACATCATGTCTGCATGGAGCCACTAACAAATTTTCCTCAAAAGCATTTTGGAAGGAACAAATAAGCACACTGTGATTTAGTTATACAATGGAATAAAAATGATTTTGAGTGAAAAAGTCACATACCAAAGAATACAATACATATTGTTCTCTCCCTTCATACCCAACAGACAAAACTCTCAAAAGTGGCAGAAATAAGAATGGTTAGTTGTACGGCGGAAGAGTTGGCTACAAAGAAGCATACATGACAGAAACGTTCTATTTTTGTCTTAGGCTGTGACTACACAGATGCAAGAATTGTCAAAACCTATTGCCCCAAATACTTATGATCAATCTGTTCTCCAAAATAAATGTGGACAAAAGCTTTAAGAGCATTATGGAGCAGGTGTATCCAGTACAATGGAGCCACTCACTCTGTTTGCCATCAGAGCCTGAGGCAGCTGAAGCGATGCCAGGGAAGTGAACAGCTGCCCTGAGTGGACTTGTCCCTCCCCACAGGCACATACTCAGTGACCTGCATTCCCCAGACTGAGAATGACCATGAAAGTCTGTTTAAGAACTTGTGGACAACGCTTACACAAAACATCTGGCTCAACAGGTCTCATCTACCAAGGAATTCCAAATACTAGGAAATCAGAAGAGTCCAGTTGGTTAATTCAACATGCAGAATAGAAAAAAAAAAAAGCTCTCTGCCAGCCAGCTGGGAACGGATCCCACCATGGAAGGTTTGGTTATCTCTTCCCTTTGAAGGCAGCACAAGATTAAATCTCAAACCCAAAATGAAGAACATGTTCAGTATTCTTCAGTTTAAATTTGCTCTATCACTCTGAAGAACCTCCAATTATATTAATAGAACTCATTCCAAATTGCTAAGAGAACTAAGTAGGTCATAAACTGTCCTATGCCAGACTATTGTCATTTCCCCTAGACACATGCGATAATTGTAAAAACAAAGTGAACCGACACACATTACGTGATTACCAATATTCCCAACACAAAAATCCATTCCTTTTCAAATGGGAATCACTAAGATAGTTTATAAAGGGTAAAGAAACACTCAGACTACAAATACTTGATGTCCTTATTATAAAGTAATTAGCTAATTTTGGTCCCATTATTTCAGATGCATTAAATCAACAGGGTATACCATATTATCTTATTATTCAGCTGGCAGCACCTTATTACCTATGAAACATGAAGAGCATCCAATGGCGACATGGCCAAGAAAATGTCACTGTTCATCCAGAGGCAAATACATCTGATTTTAAAGAATAAGGTCACTTTACTCATTTTCACTCCTTTCAAAATATTCTTATAATGCCATAATTTACATATCAGTGTATATACCAGGCTCCTTCTAAAAATTTTCAAAGAACAATGGAATGCTTTTCCTTTTATTACAGAATACAGTCAAGGACAAGCTGCAGGGCCTGAAGGCAGCCTTTCATTTGCACCAACACCTTGGGGAAATCCTCTGTTATCAACCCATCCCTTCTTCTGGGGCCAGGAAGCATGGGTAGTACTGTTCCAGGACTGATGTGTCATCATTTGTGCTCAAATATCTCCCTCTAAACAGACACAATATCCTCAGTTGACCTCCAAATCCCAAGAATTGAGTAACATGCCTGACCCAAAAGAGATTATTTATAAAATGTTGACTAACTCAATTGCTTCTCGACAAATCAGTCCTATGACTAGTCATTTTACATATACTGACATATGTTACATTCCAAAGAAGTAACACAAATAATAGAACCACAGAAGTTCAAAGATAGATCAACAAAGACCATGTTAATAAAAATAAAGTAGGCACCCGAAGTGCTAATTTTGTAATTAAGTATTTAAAAAGCAACTTTGTAAAATTAATTTAATGAAAAATAAACAAGTGAGGCTTTTCCCAGTTTTTGTTTTTCTTTCTTTCTTTTTTTTTTTTTTTTTTTAAATATTTTATTGATTTTGTACAGAGAGGAAGGGAGAGAGATACAGAGTTAGAAACATCGATGAGAGAGAGTCATCGATCAGCTGCCTCTTGCACACCCCCTGCTGGGGATATGTCCGCAAACAAGGTACATGCCCTTGACCGGAATCAAACCCGGGACCTTTCAGTCCCCAAGGCCGACGCTCTATCCATTGAGCCAAACCGGTTTCGGCTTGTTTTTCTTTTTAAGTGCTTTTTATTTGTTGTTGTTGTTGTTGTTTTATTTGTATTGTTAAGAATTTTTGCTTTCTGGCCCTTGCCAGCTAGCTGTGCTCGTTAGAGCACTGTCCCAATATGCCAAGGCTGTAAGTTTGATCGGGGTCAGGGTACATACAAGAAACAACCAATGAGTGGATAAATAAGTGGAACAACAAATAGATGTTTCTCTGTCTCTCTCTAAAAGCAATCAATATATTAATTTTTTTTAATTTTTGCTTTCCGGGTATTAGTAATGAGATATGTGTGTGTGTGTGTGTGTGTGTTATCTTTAGAAGGTCAGAGAGATTGGGAAAAGAAAATGAGCAAACATCTATTGGGTATTCACCTTCACATGATTACTTCATCCTCATTCAAACCTTGTAAGGAAGGTGTCATTCCCATTTGGGAGATGGAGCAAACCAAGGATCAGAAAGAGTAAGCAAACTGCTCATGAACATGTAGGGAATAAGTGGCTATACTGGGAATCAGGGTAACCAACTCATCTGTTTATCCAGGACTTATCCAGTTTTTGCCCTAGGAAATTCCCATTTTAAAACTGAAAAGTACTTTGTCCAGATAATTCTCTGTTCCAAAGAAACTGGCTGGTCAGTTACCCTACTTGGAACTTAAAATCCAGCCTGGCTGACTCCAAAGTCTGAGCTTCCATCAGCTCCATCGCCGTGTCCTGGAGCAGGGAGCACATGAGCTGGCCTACTCAGGGAGCTATTCACGAAAACTTTCAAACCCTACGCTAGTCACAGGGGAGCCTTGTTTCCTTTGGTGCGAGATGAGCTTTACCAGTCTGGCTGCCTTGTGCTTCACAAAGTTGGCTATCTTCTTCCTGGGCCCCAGGGGTATTCCCATTTCCTTCAAGTCATCAACTGTACACATCAGCTGGAAAGAACACAGACAAGCACAGTAAGTAGTCTAGGAACAGACTTGAAATTGAAAAAGGAAATTCTAAAAAGAAACTACACATCTAAAGCAACCTAAGACCCAATCAATTTTCCTTTTTTTTGATAAGTTATTTGTTTTTAAATCATGGGCTAATTTAGGCTGTACAATCTTAGCCCTCCACATCCAAATCATTGCATCATTTTTTTTAACAGAAAACTCAGGCAAGTTGTAAAAATTCAAAAGCTACAGTCAAGCTGAAGGTCTGAGGTCTCTCCCCTCCAGTCCTGCTCCATCCACCCAACCCATCTTTCTCAGCTGCAACTGGTGGCACATGCCTGGGTCGCTTGATTCCCAGAAGGGGTATGCAGGAGGCAGCAGATCAGTGATTCTCTCTTATCATTGATGCTTCTATCTCTCTCTCCCTTCCTTTCTGAAATCAAATTTCAAAAAAAACAATTGTGGGGTTTTCAATTTCTTAAACACTTAAATTTCTTCCTTATCTGGAATGTTTTATGGTGTATGAGTGTTCAAATCATTCTTAACTTTCAATTTATACACAGGAAAAAAAATTCAAACAAAAATGAATGAAACTATCATCAGTACCAGAGATTCCATATCAATCTTTTCCTTTTCAAAAGTGCTAACATATTCAGAGAGACTAAGTGCTGCCAGAGTTTCCTGCAAAGTTAGGACTTCTTCATTTTCAACATCAAGGTCACAAGACTCATCCAAGATCAGCTTTGGGTCTTCAGGCATCTGCAAAATAAAGTTTGGGAAACATTACAAAGCTCAGAAAAACTCCCATAAAATGTCTCCCTAGCTACAGAAAATCTTAACCCATTCTGCTCTAAAAACACATCTTAATTTTTATAGTTTGTCATCCGAATTTGTAAATATTCTGAAAAAGCATATAAATTAATCACTCATGCTCTCATTTCTTACAATAACAACAAGCTATATAGTTCCATTACACTTGTAAACCTCAGCATATTTTTATATGCAGACAGTTCAGATTTTGGAAAAACGTTCAGCTCAAACTCCAAATCTAAATGTTAACTGGGCGTACCTGCTTCTCCTGGAAACGTGGCTGCTTCACAGCTCCATTAGCAGCAGCAAAAGGGCCTGAAGCCTTCGATAAAGTCAAATCTTTCTGATTAGACAGGATGTCAAACAATATTAAAGAACCTAAAAAAAAAAGCAGCATTTGCTTTATAATGTTCTAGGTGCTTTTTATGTCACTAAATACATTCTCCTACTTTTTCTCAAAGTCCTTTGTCAAAAGTTATATAAAAGTTAGGTGTTAATCAAGGTCTGATAATCAGTGTTCTTGTTTTACCAAACAGCAGAATAAATTAAAATATAAAGCATTCGTAGGTATTCGCAGAAACCGGTTTGGCTCAGCGGTAGAGCGTCGGTCTGCAGACTGAAAGGTCCCAAGTTCGATTCCGGTCAAGGGCATGTACGTTGGTTGCGGGCACATCCCCTGGTAGGGGGTGTGCAAGAGGCAACTGGTCGATGTTTCTCTCTCATCGACGTTTCTAGCTCTCGATCTCTCTCCCTTCCTCTCTGTGAAAAAAAATCAATAAAATATATTAAAAAACAAACAAACAAACAAAAAAAAACAGCTGGGACCGGTTTGGCTCAGTGGATAGAGCGTCGGCCTGCGGACTGAAAGGTCCCGGGTTCGATTCCGGGCAAGGGCATGTACCTTGGTTGCGGGCACATCCCCAGTAGGGGGTGTGCAAGAGGCAGCTGATCGATAATTCTCTCTCATCGATGTTTCTAACTCTCTATCTCTCTCTTCCTCTCTGTGAAAAATCAATAAAAAATATTTAAAAAAAACAACATTCGTAGGTATTCATGAGAGGTGTATAGCAAAGGCAAAATCTAAATTGAAAGCATTCATCTCTACCCATTTATAAAACCTGAAATCTACAATTCTAAATCTTGCACCAACAGTGTCACCCACACTGAAAGCAGTGTTGACTCAACAAATATTTGACAGTTTTACCTAAACTGTGACCAGCAACAGAGATCCCTCCTTTGAAGTCTGGATTCCGACTCAGAAAAAGTGCGTGTAGACGGTTTATCTCCATTCCCACTTTCTCCACAATCTTCTGACAGTAGGCGGGACTATTATAAAACAGAATATCTAGCAGGGTTTCATTGGTAAAGTGACGAAATCGACCAATACTTGGTAAAGTGATTTTCTTAATATTCCTATTTAGAAAGAAAAAAGTATGTTTTTTGTGAGAAAGTACCTAAAATCTATAGATTTTTTTAAGCTTAGATTTTGAATCCTGAAAGTACAGTGAGTAAATAAATCCACAAACTAATTATGAGTTGATTTTGTAGACAGTTATAAAGACATTAACATTAGCAAAGAAGTTGCTATTTGTGCCTTTAACTGAACTATAAATGTTGGGATTTTCTAAAGTTATCAAATAAAATAAAGCTTATGAAAAGACTTTTAAGTTTAAAGAAGAAAGCCTACTCTTTCATTGTTTACCAATTTATTAGAAATCAGGACACCTGACAGCAAATGTGGGTGGAAAAGACAATAGAGAAAGCAGGACTAAGAAAGGAGATTAATGGAATAAAGCTCTTTCCTGACTTGAGAATGTCCATAGCAAAGTTCAAGAACATCCACAGAGAAAGAAAACACCCTCATGACAGGGCCCAGCATGGGTATATGCTGTGTGCAGGATCAATTTTATTAAATCACTAGAGGCCCGGTGAACAAAATTCCTGCACAGGGGTGTGTGTGGGTGTCCCTCAGCCCAGCCTGCACCCTCTCCAATCTGGGATCCCTCTCACAATCCATGAGTTCTGTCTCCCAACTGCTCGCCTGCCTGCCCCAACTGCTTTTTCCTGCCAGCCTGATCACCCCCTAACCACTCCCCTGCCAGCTTGATTGCCCCTAACTGCATTCCCCTGCTTCCCTGGTCACCCCTAACTGCCCTCCCCTGCCAGCCTGGTTACCCCTAACTGTCCTACCCTGCTGGCCATCTTGTGGCAGCCATCTTTGACCACATGGGGACAGCCATTTTGTGTGTTGGAGTGGTGGCCAATTTGCATATTACTTCATTATTATATAGGTTGTGCCTGTCACTAATTTCAGATGATATTAGCCTGTGTGCTAGCATAAATATTTCCTAAAAATTAAAATTATTTAAATCTCTGATTCTCAATTGAAAGCTTTCAAAATTGAGTGGGGCCCAACTGGCACAGCTCAGTAGTCAATCATCAACCCATAAACCAGGTCAGCTTTCTATTCCCGGTCAGGGCACATGCCCGGGTTTTGGGCTTAATTCCCAGTGTTGGGTGTGCAGGAGGCAGCTGATCTATGATATTCTTTCATCACTGATGTTTCTATCTTTCCTTCCATCACCCTTCCTCCGTGGGAAAAAAAAAAAAAAAAAAAAAAGTACATGTAAAAAATATTTTTTTAGTGGGGGCATTTTTAATTGTCACAGTGCCTGATGAGTGCTGTGGGCATTTGGTGGCATTTAGACAAAGGATACTACCATGTTTCCCCGAAAATAAGACATCCTCCAAAAATAAGACCTACTTACAGGTTTCCTTCTGAGTGAAATATAAGGCATCCCCCCGAAAATAAGCTCCACCCCCCCCTGTCTCAGAAACTTTGTGAAACCTAAACTGCAAGAAGTTGTGACTTGGGTGAAGAATTTATGGAAGAAAATCACTGACAGTTTCATTGCAAATGCACTGCGAGCAGGCTACCTTGACAAGAAGTACTCATTTAAAGACAGTGCTATTGCTAAACATGAGAGATTTGTTCCACTGAGTCTGAAAGAAATGGAGTCACAAGAAATTCTCCAGGAAATTCAGGAATTGGATTGTTATGATGTTGTTCCATAAGATGATGACATGATTGTCATTGAATAAATGAGTAAATTCTTGATACTGTAGGATTCACAGTTTGTCTGGTTTGTGTTGACAACTATCATACTACCGTACCGTATACAGGTAATTTCCTTTATTTTCACTTAACAATAAATGTGTACCGTATTCTTCTTCATGGAAAAATAAGACATCCCCTGAAAATAAGACCTAGCGCATCTTTGGTATCAAAAAGTAATATAAGACACTGTCTTGTTTTCAGGGAAACAGGGTAAGTGGCCTACAGTACACATGCAGCAATCAGACAGGATAATGACCTGTCCTGCCCAAAGAGCTTCCACTGAGGAACAATCACCTAATCAATGGTTCTCAACCTGGGGCTTTAAGCTCCAGGAGACATCTGGCAAGGACTCCTGACAGTTTAGGTTGTCACATCACACTTTGGGAAGGACTGTGCTACTATTATCTACTGGATAGAGGCCAGGGATGCTGCTAATACCCTACAGCTATGTATAATCAGCCCCTATCTAAACTACTATGCATTAGTATTCCAAAACCCGCCTAAACTTCCTAGACAGTCTTAAATATTTATAAGAATAAATGCATACACAGCCGAAACCGGTTTGGCTCAGTGGTAGAGCGTCGGTCTGCGGACAGAAAGGTCCCAGGTCCGATTCCGGTCAAGGGCATGTACGTTGGTTGCGGGCACATCCCCGGTGGGGGGTGTGCAAGAGGCAGCTGGTCGATGTTTCTCTCTCATCGACGTTTCTAGCTCTCTATCTCTCTCCCTTCCTCTCTGTAAAAAATCAATAAAAATATATTTTTAAAAAAATGCATACACAGAAAAGTAGCAAGTAAATTTAACAACCAGTATTTAATTATATGTCAGAGCAAATATAAACTTAAAATAAAAAATACATCTCTTAAAATATCTATGCCTATATGTTGAAGTGATAATAAACTACTTTATATTATGGTTTAAATTTTTAATCTACAAGTGAATAATCTGAAAAGCAAGCTCTCAAAATCCACGAACCTGTCGACACCTGTTGCATCCCCACCCAAGGAGCTGTGCCAGTGAACAGGAAGAAACTCCACTCTGCTTATTTTCCGATCATCTAAAGCTTTCTTGAAATGAGTCTGCAGCAATTTGAGAGAAACCACCCTGAAATCATCCACTTAAAAAAGAAAATCAGGGAAAACAACAAATTAAATTAATATAATTTTCTTAGCTTGATTAGTAGTTAGCAATTACCCCACCCATGCCAATATTTTGCAAGGATTCAACCCCCATAACAGTAAACCTAATACTTAGAAAAATCTTTCAAGTGTTTCATTATTTTAGAGGTATGTATAACTGACTGAATAACTTTATTTTATTTTGTCTTTTAAAATATATTTTATTGATTTTTTACAGAGAGGAAGGGAGAGAGATAGAGATCTAGAAACCTCAATGAGAGAGAGACATCGATCAGCTGCCTCCTGCACACCCCCTACTGGGTTATGTGCCCACAACCAAGGAACATGCCCTTGACCGGAATCGAACCTGGGACCTTTCAATCCGCAGACCAACACTCTATCCACTGAGCCAAACTGGTTTTGGCTGACTGAATAACTTTAACTATCACATATAAACAGCATGGAACTTTTGGTACAAACTTGGAAATCAAACTACCTGCTCCAGAACTTACAGACTGTGGTCACCTGTTCCCCAAGGATTCATTGTGAGAGTTAAATGATACAATACATGCAAGATACTTGACACATAACAAGTATTCTAAAAAAAAAAAATGAACTATTATACAGACATAAAAATAAAACTTCAAAAATTTCTGTAGCCCTGGCCGGGTAGCTCAGTTGGTTATAGTATCATCCCAATACACTAAAGTATCAGGTTTGATCAACCAATTAATGAATAAATAAGTCAAATAACAACTAGATACTTCTCCCTCCCCTACAAAAAAAAATCAATAAAAAATAAAATATTTCAGTAAACCATAGATTCATACTTCCTTTAAACAATTTCTCACAACTAATTTTCCATAAATCAGTTAGATACACAGGTGTTCCTACTTGCTGGAATTGCTCAGGCAGACTTTGTCAGAAATACTAAATTATTTCCATGATCCCATGTAATTTTTCAGTCTAAAATTGTATGAGTTATACATGTCATAAGAACAAATTAATATCATCAATGATCATTTAAATCCTCTTTTGTAGTCCCTCAGCTGGAAGCCATTTTAAAAATGAACATTTAAAGTCCTTCCATTAGTTCTCAAATCATAGCATGAAATGACTAACACTTACCACATTCAATAATACTTCTAAATCGCAAGTCACATACCGGTCCAATGCCATGTACCATGAACACCAAATGGTCAACCGGAGGCATTTCCCCTACAAAAGAAAGACAAACATACACACAAGCTGGAAACTTGTTTGGGTTTTCTTAACTGAATGGCAATAACCTAGATATCCCTTTTGTCATCACAAACTTACCAAAGAAATCCACGACCCTTCCACCTTAATTAGCCTCATTATCCTCTACCAAATTAGAAGAACGAAACTCAAAGTCAGTCTTGGTAAATAACAGTGAACTGAACCAAGGAGTGGAGGTAGCAGGCCATCTGTGGTCCCAGAAGTTATCAGCATATGATGACCAGCAGTTGTGTACCTACAAAGGCTCCATAACCTTGTGATTTCTTCAGAACGCCTCAGGGCACTAAATCCCATATGGAGAAGCAATTTGTCAATGTAAAATTTTAAAATCTTTCCCCCAAATCCTTCTCTTTGATTTGTCAGATTCATATATATTATATAAAGGACATTTCCTAGTTAAATCTACTATTTTACTCTAGTTATTTCATTCAGATCCAGATAAATATATTCATTTTGTAATTTCATAAGACAATAAAACAAATATAAAGTACATCAAAATAAAATCCATATTTTAAATGGTATAATAGGAGAACCAAAACACAAACACTGAGGTAGGGGTTAGCGAACTATGGATCACAGCCAAATCCTTCTCCCTGCCTGTTCTTTATAAATAAAGTTTATTGAAACATTGTTATGCCCATTTGTTTATATACCATCTGTAGATGTTTTCACACTACAATTAGAGTTGAATGCATGCAACAGAGTCTGTATGGCCTGCAAAGCCTAAAATATTTACTATTTGGCCTTCACAGGAAATGTGTGTTACTCCAGCACTAGAATAAGGCAAACTAATTGAAGTATGAGAAAACAATCCCGAAAACACAGCCAAAAGCCTACTTTCAGTCAGTGTTTCCTTTACAACAATACATATTTTAAGAGTCCACATTACATGGTTTGTATACCTTCACAGGATCATAAATTTAAAAACGAAGATGGTAATAAAAATTTTTTTAAAGATATGTGCCAACCTGTTATGGCAGGAAATCCTAATAACTGTCTCTTTGTCATCATTATAAAGGATGATGATAAGACTGAGAAGTCTAGAAATGACATGAGTCCTAAGCCAATTTTACACACCCTCGGGAATTTCATCAAGGTTCTCGTCAACTCCACGCTTTACAACTCTGGGTCTTGTCTGTCCATCTTGTGTGGTCCCCCACTCATCTGGCACTGACGACGGCTGGAACTGAACAATAACCTTCAAGACACAACAAGAGGATTACGACAGCTCACTAGCAAATTCACTTCCACTACAGACAAAATCATGTTATTTCAATACATGACAAACTACTTCATAGTATGGATAATTTATACATCAAGTACTACCACTGTTTCCCCAAATCCAATCTGTAATGGTCCTGCTAGTGATCATTAACCATTAAAAGTAAGCAAATCAATACCATTATTTCCCATGTTATTAGAAAATGACACAATTAAAATATCAGAATATACCTCAATTTAGAAATGTAATATAAACACCCAAGTTTACTCATAAGAAATTAAGGAAAAGTTGCCTGCAATAGAGGAGTCATTTACAAATGCATTTTCAATGCCAATCATGGATTTACCTACCAATTTTTAGGAAGACCTATACTGTATAATCCAACTATATTAAATTAAACCTGATGTCATGAAAATACTTCTTTAAAAACATGCATGCAAGATGTTTTGCAAATTTTTCTGTTTGTACACAAAACAAAAAGTTAAAAATGTAAAACACAAAGGATAAGCCTGGTCACCATCAAGAGGAGAAACTAGGAGGATACAGAAGAGTAAGGGGCTTTTATTTTTCACTTCACACCTTTATATACTGTTTAAATTTTGTTGACATATAATGTGCTTTTACTTTTATTTATTTTAATATCAATAAGGATTGTAGATGGGGGAAGCGGGCGGGTTGAAGGTCAATGGGTACATCTGTGATAGTTTTAACAATAAAGATAAATTTTAAAAAATTAAAGACTATAGATGTGGTTAGAATATAAGTTACTTTATACTTTACTATAATAAGCAATTGTCCTGTTGGGAACTACTACTGTGCCAAGCAAGCACTATGCTAGATGCTTTTGCATAAATGACCTCGACTTCATCTAGAATATGCCCCGGGAAGGAAAATCTTTTTTGTTGCTTGTAATCCTCACCCAAGGATATTTTTCCACTGATTTTTAGAGAGAGTAGAAGGGAGAGGGGGAGAGAGACACATTGGCTGGTTGCCCCCACATGCACCCTGACCAGAGCCGGGGATCCAGCCTGCAAGTGAGGTATGTGCCCTTGACCAGTTATGGGCAGAGAGGAAAATCTTAGTGCAAATGAGAAACTTGTAGCTCAGAGATTAAGGGTGGTCAATGAAAGGAAGCGAATACCATTAATAACTTAAGGGGGGAAAAAATACACAAGAAGTTTATAAAGACGGTACAAATGAAAAGAGGAAGAATATGTTTTCCGTCTCAAAGATTGAAACAAACCTTCATTAAGGGCAGGGAGACAAAGTTTGCTTAAAAACAGCCATCCTCAATGTCGGTAGCTGCTTTCAGGCTACAAGGGCAGGGTTGATAGCTGTCCCAAAGACCATGTGCCACAAAAAGCCTTAAAATCTTTCTCTCTAGCTCTTTGCAGAAAAAGTCAGCTGACCCCTGATCAAGTGCAAAAATTTATCAAGCAATTTCTATGCTGCATATTAAGCTTCAGCTAGTATGTTGCCATAAACAGGAACTTCATGAAACAAATTTTAATTTAATTTTATTTTTCTTATTAATCCTCACATGAAGATAAATTTTCCACTGCTTTTCAGAGAGTAGAAGGGAGAGGTGTAGAGAGAGAAACATCCATGTGAGAGAAACCATCAACTGGTTGCCTCCCACACCTGCTCGCAAGGAGGGGACAGTGCTCAGGCCCATGCTGTGCCACAGATCACTGTGAACTACAGTAAACTTAAGAGCCAAGGACTTGTCATACATATATCCCCACTGCAGACATTAGTAAAAATAAGCATTTAGCAAATACAATTGTCAAAATTACTTAAATGAACCTAAAAACTTTAATATTCTAAAAAAATCACTACCTTTGGATTGTGCATAACAATCGTCTCTCCACTTGGAAACTCTAATCGGCGGTGCCACTGATTTGTGGTTACAGCTTTTTTATATTCTACCTACAATAATGAAAACAACATACATACATTAATACAAATCTATCTCACATTGAGAGAAAGTGGGAGGAAATTAAAACTATGATGGTAATAAAATTACTCTTTCATTCCTAAATAACATTATCCACATTAGACAGAGGCAAATACAAGATTTAGATTACTAGTTTCTCAGAGCTTCCAAAAAAAGTACCATAAACTGAGTGGCTTAAAACAACAGAAATGTATTCTCTTGGTTCTGGAGGCCAGAAGTCTGAAATCAAGGTGTCAGAAGAGCAAATGTTGTAAAATGTTGTAAAAATGTTCCCTCTGAAACCTGTAGGGAACTTCTTCATTGCCTCCCTAGCTCCTAGTGCTTTCTCACCAATCTTTTTTTTTTCTTCTTCTTTTTAAAAAAATATATTTTATTGATTTTTTACAGAGAGGAAGAGAGAGGAATAGAGAGTTAGAAACATCAACGAGAGAGAATCATCAATCAGCTTCCTCTTGCACACCCCCTACTGGGGATTTGCCCGCAACCAAGGTACATGCCCTTGACCAGAATCGAACCTGGGACCTTTCAGTCTGCAGGCCGACGCTCAATCCTCTATTCTCACAGAGCACTCGCCTTCTGTCTGTCCTCTCATAAGGACACCAGTCATATGGGAACAGGCCACACCCTACTTCACTATGATCTCATCTTAATAACATGTGCAACGACCTACTCACAAAGTTACATACTGACCTGCTAGAGCCTAGGACACAATTCAATCCCGAACAGACATTTTTTTTATAAAATTGGTTTATTTTATTACCATTGACCTGGTGCACAGATTCATGCACATTGAAAGGAAATTCATGAGAAGATGACCAGCTGGGTGAAATGGGTCAGACACGGCCTGGAGCCAACCACCTGCAGTCCCTCCCCTGCGTCTGCGGAGTGAGCGAGCAGAATCCCTCCGGGAGGTGGGGTCCCTTGGCCTGGCCTGTGGGATTGGGTGAAACCGGTGGTCCCTGGCCACAGTGCGGTGTGTGTGGGAGGCAACCAATTGATGTGTGTCTCTTTCACACTGATGTTTCTCTAGCTCTCCGTCTCTCTCCCTCACTTGCACTCTCTCTAAAAATCAATGGAAAAACCAACTAATGAATGCATAAATAAGTGGAACAACAAATCGATGTTTCTCTCTCTGAAATCAATCAATACGTTAAAAAATTTTATTAAAAAAGACAGACAGGCTCTCTTGCAAACAAAGTCTGCTCCCTGTGGGTGGTATTTCATGAGGCTCCAATGTACACAGGGCCGACTTTTTTTAAAGAAAAGCATAAAGGAATAAAGCCCACGTACCTCTAGTTTTTCACTGAATTCCTCTGTATAGGGAATAAATCTGCTATCTGAGTCTCCTTTGTAAAACCAAGTACAGCGTCTCACTTCAGCAGGCTCCTCTTCCCAGTACACAGCTTTCCTCACGCGGTCGTAAAGGTAAACGTCATAGCGCCCTCCATCCGTGCCTAGAACCACACTCTCAGGATCTGGCTGGACTGGAGCACAAAGTCCACAGTTTAATCCAACAGTTACAAGGCATATATGAAGTAATAAGCAATGAATGCAGTGACCAGCTGTTCCTTTAAGACAAAGAACTAAGCTCTTTGAATTACTTAAAAATACCTTAAGCCTGGCAGGAGTGGCTCAGCTGGCTGTGCATTGTCCCATGGATGGGAGGGTTGCCAGCTCGATTACCAGTCTGCACATATCTGGGTTGTGGGTTTGATCCCAGTGGGTCCAAATACAGAGGGCAACCAATCGATGTTTCTCTCTCACGTTGCTGTTTCTTTCTCTCTCTCTTTCCCCCGTTTCCTCTCTCTAAGCATGTCCTCAGTTGAGGAGTTAAGTAAATAAATAAATAATTTTAATTTTTTAAAAAAGAATAATTTTTAAAACATTAAAAATAAATAAAAAGAGCTAAAGATTAATCTGTGTTGATCAAAATTATAATCTTAAATGAAGAAATAACTAGGGCAAAATTTTAAAACATGAACATAATTCAAGCAACTGGTAATTTTTTTTTAATCAAAGCAGCAATATATATGAAGTATATTTCTGAAGAATATTATTAATTAACATTGTGAAATATCAAGATAAACAAAGACATCTTCTCCCCCTCTCCCGCCCACAGGACTTCTCACAGCCTTAACACACTCCTGTGCACTGTCTGTCTCAAAAGGCAGCACTTCCAAACTCACCTGACCATGGGATACTTTTTTCACAGCATCATAAGAAATAACATTTCCATAGAAAATGCTCTATATACTCTATACATACAAATCTATCAGGGAAATAAGAAAATTGACACCCACCCCCAAAAAAAGGATTAAAAAAATTGACACCTGGATTATATGAACTATTTTGTTTTTCTGATTTAAAATCAGAAAAATCCTTTAAACAAATAAGAAAATTACTAAAACACTTCTTCAGATACTTTTCTGCAATATCTCAGAACTTCTATTAAAATCACCATCCTAAGGTACTGAGTCTTGTGGGGTCTACGATTAAGGAATGTGACATTCACAAAAAGTAAACCATGGATAAATCCCCTCCATGTCTTCTCTCCCTAAAGTCAGATACAGTGATGCATAAATAGTCTTACCTGAATTATAGACTTCTTCAAGATTCAAAGAGTCCAGCACACTGAAAGGCATCCAGAGTTGTTTGTTCTCTACCTCCTTGCAGTGAAACCAGTGGGGCTGAACAGGCTCGTACTGGTTTTGAAGCATAAAAGGAGGAGGCACTGGCACAGAGGGACCCACAGGTCTAGCAAGTGCCTGCTGCTGTGCTGGAGGAGACAACCCTGACTGCACGGAAGGATGAACCTGGAGGGGACGACAAAGGTAGGACTGTCATGCCAGTTCCAAGGACAGTTTTGTAGGTGCTTCGGACCCATTATCAGAGTCTGTGCATCAGTATGATTTTAATTAAGTAAAATGAAGCCCATTCTCTGTCCCCAAGAGTAAAGTTAGGTTACACTTTTATAATACTGCTATCTTATAATGGTTCCCTTTTTGTTGTTTTAGTAGATTTCCCTTTGGAAGTCAATTGAGTATCAGTTGGGTGGAAAAAATAAGGGAATTTCATAACCCAATGTAAATGTTATTCCATTACCCTCCTGAGACTGAGATTAACTGTCTAGATCCAAACTCCATAAATTTAAATAAAGAAATTACTAGAGTAATCAACTTTAGTACCTATAATTTAGTATCTTGATTGAATAGTATAATTAAAAATGAGACGTTGGCAAGCTAAGATAATAACTGCTTCAACTCTCACTGGTCCTAGATCACATTTATCATTGATATTTTACACTAAAATCTAAAAATACTGGCACAGATTATCTCATTAAAATCAATTACTACTTCAATCCAGATAATAAGAACCAAAATGTAAATCTTCAATGAGCTACCTATAAAAGAACATTTGCTTCAAAGCATACATCTTACAAAGAATATCCTCTGAAAATAATTTGTCATCATATTGATTATAAAAAGCACTATGCTTTTAAAAGCATAGGCTAAGTGAGAGAGATATTGGAAGCTAAAGTGAATAATTAGGGTACTAAACCAATCTCCATACCACTGGCAGAGATCCTGGAGGCGTCTGGTGCATGTGGACAGGAGGTCCAGAGGGTGGCAGATGGGTAGGATGGGCTGGTGTTTGGCACTGCTGCAGCTGTGGTGGTGTAATGTAAGGGTTAGCTCTGCTGCTTATGGGAGTATGGCGATAGGGATTGTATCCTTGTTGGGATATTCCTTGGGGTGGGCTCCCAACATTTGAAGGAGGGAGACTACTTGGCTGAGCAGGCAAATAAGCATTTGTTCCCATCTGTGAAGAAGCTGGAGCAACATACTGAGCCTTCGAAAAGGATGGTGGAAATGTATTCAACACATCTTGGGATCCAGTTGTAAAAGGGAGAGCAGCTTGGGGCTTGGAGAAAGTTGACTGTCCAGGTGACGTTGCTGCCGTTGTTAATGGTGACTGTCCAATATTCCCAAATGGGTCACCACTGCTTGATACCTGAGAGAAGTAACTAAATGTCTGTGGGGTAGATGTGTGAGCAGAAGTCTGACCAAGAAAGCTGTCCTCCTCACCAACATCTGTGGAATCCTCTGTAAGGGACAGAAGAGCAAACGGTTTAAAAGGTATGCTATCGTTCTACAGTCCTAGTTCTTGTGCCTCTTATTGTGTTGTTCCAAATTACATTTCTGCATTGACAGGGGGAAAAATGGAAAACTTCTCTTTGTAATAAAAAACTTGAAAATATGAATCAGAAACAACAAAAGTAAGAAAAATTATAATTCATTCCTAAGCCCACCACCAAAATATAATCACTTTCAACAATATTTCGGTACATACCTTTTCATACTTTTTAAATAATATAGTTACACATTATTTATTTTGTAAATATATAGAAATTATACAACCCTGACCTGTTTGGCTCAATAGATAAGAATGTCGGCCTGCAGACTGAAGGGTCCCAGGTTCGATTCTGGTTAAGGGCATGTACCATGGTTGCAGGCACATCCCCAGTAGGGGGTGTGCAGAAGGCAGCTGATCGATGTTTCTCTCTCATCGATGTTTCTAACTCTATCCCTCTCCCTTCCTCTCTGTAAAAAATCAATGGAATTTTTTTTAAAAAGAAATTATACCTATTTGTGTATAGACATTTAAAAAATAGAAATAAAATCTGTATTTACTATTTTACATGTCCTTCTGCGTGCTCCCTTTTTTCCTGGTAAAAAATCAAATACACATAATTTTATTTCCAGTCATGACAAGAACCTAAAGTGCAGATATTCACTCTGTTGACAAGAAGGGTGTGTCGAGGTTCTTACCCACAAGGAACTCACTGTAGAAATGAACTTGTGGTATTTGTATTCACAAGGCAAAATGTGCCAACAAGGAACTGCCATCCCTAACATCAGAGTATCACAACCAGTTAAAGCATCGTGACTGAGCACCACACCACTAGAAAAGTCATTTTCTAGCCAGGTAAGTCCCCTCGCTTCTGTTTGCCCAACTTGATCTTCACTGTGGGTATTATCAACATCAAATTATTTATCTTCTCTCTGCCCCAACTTGTAAAATCAAAACATTTTTTCTCTACTAGTAGATGGCCTCAAAAGATCAGCCTTACTAAACTCTCATGAGCCCTTAGCTTGTCGTAACTTCCATTGACCTCTCCTTAAGCTTCTCATTCTCTTTATCTCCTACCTCTGAAGGCATGTAGCACATCAGAGGTGGACCCATGCCCGGCACCCGGGCACAGAGGTCCCTGCCCTTGAGACCTGACATAGGAAGCCTCCTCTTGCAAGCTCCGGGCTTCATACTGACCTGCTAGAGCAGGGCCCTGGGCTTGTTGAGATTCTTGCTGAAGCCTCTAGGTTGCCCCATCAATTTAACTGAAATAATCCACTATTTCCAAATATTCTTCTACCATTTTTCCCCAAAAAATAAGACATCCTCCGAAAATAAGACCTACTTACAGGTTTCCTTCTGAGTCAAATTTAAGGCATCTCCTGAAAATAAGGCCCACACTAGGCTAAGCATGAGAGAATTGGTCCACTGATTCTGAAAGAAATGGAGTCACAAGAAATTCTCCAGGAAATTCAGGAATTGGATTGTTATGATGATGTTCCATAAGATGATGACATGATTGCCATTGAATAAATGAGTAAATTCTTGATACTGTAGGATTCACAGTTTGTCTGGTTTGTGTTGACAACTACTGTACTACCGTACCTTATACAGGTAATTTCCTTTATTTTCATTTAACAATAAATGTGTACCGTATTCTTCTTCATGGAAAAATAAGACATCCCCTAAAAATAAGACCTAGCGCATCTTTTGGAGCAAAAATTAATATAAGACACTGTCTTGTTTTGGGGGAAACAGGGTAGGTTGTTTCTTTGTAACTAAAAATAAAATATCGCAGCCTGCATGAGGGCCCTTGTCTGCTTTTTATCATTCTACTTTCCTTATGTATTTCCATTTTCAGTCATGTAATCCTCATGTGGATTCATCTGTATTTCTTCGTCCATCTCTCAACCACTGAAAACATGCGTTTCATCCTTTAAGACAACTTAAGGATCTATCTGATTCAAGAAGCCTTTTTCTAATTAGCATCAATTACCGAGAAAGTACTGGTCTCATCCTGATGCCAGCCTCACCTCAGAGGCACATGATGATTACATGTGGATACATCTGACATCAAGACACACAACTTGCCCTGACTGGTTTGGTTCAGTGGATAGAGCGTCGGCCTGCATACTCAAGGGTCCCAAGTTCGATTCCAGCCAAGGATATGTGCCTTGGTTGCAGGCACATTCCCAGTAGGGGGTATGCAGGAAGCAGCTGATCGATGTTTCTCTCTCATCGATGTTTCTCTCTATCCCTCTCCCTTTCTCTCTGTAAAAATAATCAATAAAATATATTTTTTTAAAAAGACACACCACTTTAGTGAGCACCTACCAGTATCCTTGTGACACTCCCAACTCCATGTCAAATGAGACTGTGCTCACTGTTCCTGAACTATTTTCCTACTGCTTCCTCAATACTTGGGCAGGCACAGCCACATCTACTCAAAGTGAGGACACTTAGAACGGCCTCCATCATCCTCCCTGTCCCCCTCCACATGCTCCTGCACCACCTCTCACCAACCCGTCTACCCATCCTCTCCAGCCAGACACCACATCTCACAGACTCCTCTCCTCTCATACTCTCCAGTCAGACACTCATTCAAGACATATGTACAAAATATTTATGTGCCAGGCACCGGAGCTAGGTCTTGGGGCTAAAACTGAATGAGAAGCCTCTGTGCTTAACGAGGAGACAGTGTGGTCACCAGTGAGTCACTAAGTCCCAACAATGTTAGGTTCTGAAAACCTCTCATATCCATTTCCTGCTCTTCACACCCCATGTGGCTGATTATGGCTGCAGTGCCATCCACTCCTGCCTGGTTCACAATGACCTCCAGGCTGGTGCCTCTTGCTACACCAGGCTTCATTCCAGTGCAAGCTCACAACACTCGCCTTTCCGAAACACACCTCTAATTTCGCTGCCTTGTGCAAATCCTCCAAAGGCCCCTCCACTCCCCACATGATGACAAAAAGTCCTCAGTATGTTATAGGAGGCTTTGTGTGATCTGATCCCTATTGACCACTAAAGCCACTCCCCTACACACACTACAGTCACACCGATCTCCTGGGAGAGGGGAGAAAAGACAGGGAGAGAGACGAAGAGCGGGAGGATAAAGAATGTGAGCAGCTACCACCAAATCCTAACAAATCTGCAGATTTTCCCACACTCCAGACTTTTCCATCTGGCCATCTCTCCCAATGTCCTAATTTCTTCCCATCACCTCAATGTGAGGCCCTAAGCCTAAGGGATGTTCTCTCCCAGGTCAGCCAGCCTGAAAGCCACAGCTTTCACACAGACAATCAACCCCTCTCTCTGGCCATTATAAACCTGCATCAAACTGTTTACACAGCTTGGTAATGTGTATACGTACATTGCAGTCACTGGGGGCAATGCTGTGTGCTGTCTCCCAGACATCCGGCACACTGCTCAGTCCATGTTTGCTAAAGGAAAGAAATTGCTTCCTTTGTGTCTCTTTCCCTGAGGTATTAACTGCTGCTTCCAATGAGACATGTTCTTCCTTTGTCTCTGTAAATTCTCTGAATAGAGTTCTAATAACCAAATCTTTTATTTAAAAAGTATGTTTTATTTTTTTGTTTTGTTTTAGAGACAGAGGAAAAGAAGATAGAGTCATCAATGACAGAGAAGCACTGATTGCCTACCCCCCACAATCCAAGCAAATGCCCTGACTGGGAATTGAACCAGCAACCTCCTGGTGATGGAAGGGTGCTCAATCCACTGAGCTATGGCCAAATCAAATCCTCTTCATAGATGGAAAAATAATTGTTACAGAATTAGCCGCATGCATGGCCTTATTTATTCCTTCAACCTCCTACAGCCAGGCTAGTCCTTTATGATGGCAATGCCTAACCTTCGCACCAGTTGTCAAAACAAGATGCCTGACGCCCATCCTTTCATTCATTCAACAAATACCTACTGAAAAACTGGTCTATTGCTTACCATGCCCTTCCTTATCCTCAAATTTCTGTTCTAGGTATAAATTCCTGCTCTCATGCAACTTACACTCTAGTGGGATAAGATAAACAAATACGTGTACCTGTCAGTGGTGATAAGTACCAAGAAGAAATAGAACACAAGTGAAAGGGATCTGCATGCACAAGTACCTCCAGTTCGCCCTCTCCATGAGACTATCTTTCTTGGAATAAAGTATTGTGTGAGAAAATATTTAGCATTGACTAAGAATCTGTGAGATAGTCACTAAAGATCCTAAAAATAACAAAGTAAATAAGTCACCCCTGCAAAGTTCAAAAAGCCCACAGTCCAAATGTATGCTTATTTCACAAACATTTACATAGAACTATGTGCCAGGCACTATACTCTGTGTGCCTTATAAAAATCAATTCATTGCCCTAGCTAGTTTGGCTCATTGGCTGGAGCATTGGTGTGTGGTCCTGGTTGGAATCGGGGGCGTGCAGGAGGCAGTCCATCCATGATTCTCTCTCATCGTTGATGTTTCCACCTCTCTCCTTCTCCCTCCATCTTTGAAATCAATAAAAATAATTTTTTAAAAATCAATTCATTTCACATTACAGCCTTATGAGGCTATACATAAATGGACACTGAAGTACAGAAAGGTAAATTAACACAGTAAGTATTGCCAGGACTGGAGCTGGAACAGTCTATGCTTCTAAACACCACCCTCTGGGTTGTGCCACACAATTGTTAAACGCAATCTCTCCACAGCAATAAAGATACGAACAAGGAGCTAAGGTGCACGGAGGAGTAGGAACCCGGAGAACAGGAGGACATGATGCGTGGCCATGCAGTGTCTGCACAGAAGAGAGGTCCAGGCTGCAACCCTCCTCTTTCCCAAGGGTGCCTCCCAGGAGACACCCCGCCATAACCTAGGGATCTCCTACGTGTCCTGAGAGAGGGGGAGCTGGTCCATTTGCATTTCCTGCAAGTGCCTGGCACACCTGTGAGTGTTCCACAGAAACTTGCGGAACGCCAGCCCGGAGTGCCCGGCCTCCCACGGGGTCCTTCACGAGCGCACAGGAGGCCTGGTGACCTGACCCGCCCCCGAGGTCCCAGAACTCCCAAGCCGCTCACCCTGGCCCGCCAACGGCCCCGGTCACCGCCCACCAGGCGGGTGGCGACCGAAGGAAAACTGCGGTCCGATCCCCGTCACCGAGGCCCCCGCCCGCCTCCCCGCACAGACCGCCCCACCGGAGCCCTCTCCGGACTACCTCCGGGCAGGAGCAGGGGGGCGGCGGCCGCGGCGGCCTGGGTGACCGGGATGAAGGGCACGTTGAAGGTGAACTCCGTGGCCGAGGAGGAGAAGAGTAAGTTAGTGCCGGACGCGGAGGTGGAGGCGGCGCCGCCCCCACCGTTCGGTTTCCTATCAGCCATGGCTGCGGCCCACCACCCGTTACACGTCTCGGAAAGCCGGCGCGGCACCACCGGACGGAAACCAGTCACACTCGGGGCCAGCACACTTCCGCACTTGCGCACAAGGGCCGGAACTTCGGGCAGCTGGTCCGCAGCTGTGTTCCAGCCCCTACGTAGCGCCACCCGAAACCAACATGGTGGCGCGGGCTTCACGCCCGGAGTCTTAACACGTGATTCCCTCCACGGCTACGGAAGCGGGGCTGGAGGCGGGAGGGGCGAGGCTGGAGTCAGGGCGGGGCTGGAGGCTGGGCTTGAGGCTGGGCGGGGCTGGAGGCGGGGAGAAGAGTGGCTGGAGGCGGGGCGGGGCTGGAGGCGGGGAGAAGAGTGGCTGGAGGCGGGGCGTGGCTGGGGCGGGGTGGGGAGAGGAGTGGCTGGAGGCGGGGCGGGGCTGTAGATGGGGAGAGGCGGGGCGGGGAGAGGAGTGGCTGGAGGCGGGGCTGGGGCGGGGCGGGGCTGGGGGCGGGGTTGGGAGAGGAGTGGCTGGAGGCGGGTTGGGGCGGGGAGAGGAGAGGCTGGAGGCGGGGCGGGGCAGGGAGAAGAGTGGCTGGAGGCGGGGCGTGGCTGGAGGCGGGGCGGGGAGAGGAGTGGCTGGAGGCGGGGTGGGGCTGGAGGCGGGGGCGCGGCTGGAGGCGGGGCGGGGAGAAGCTGGAAACAGAGGAGAGGTTAGAGGAGGTCTAAGCCTCAGACTGTAAGGCTGTGTTTCCCAAAGGTGGTACGGGAAGAGTTTGGTGGGGGTACGCATTGCATCAGCACCAGAGTTTGGTGGGGATATGCACTGCACCGTGCTTAGCTGCGCCTAATTCTACGTACTCATGAGTATGAGGGGTACTCAGCGTTACGAAAATTATAGAAGGGGTACACATATATCAAAAGTTTGGGAAACACTGCTCTAAGGAGTTAACCCACCGGCCCCGCCCAGACTGGTTGGAGGACCCTGGGTTGCAGGCAGGACCTGGTGGAACAGGGAAGGGCTGGGGCCCGGGCTCAGCAGGTCCCTGGAGCTGTAGGGGAGCGCTGAGGGTGTAGTGCGCTGAATGGGGGCTACAGAGGATAGGAGAGGCTGCCACCTGGATGTGTGGCATCAGGGCCTTGGGCCAGGCGGTGCCTGAACAGACCTGTGTCTCAGGGAGGGAATGCAGGATCCTAGCCAGTGGGCTTGCAGGCCCCAAATCAATTTCTTTTCGAGGTAAAACAAAATCTGCCTGGGGAGGCAGGCGGCAAAGGCGCACCCAGGAAAAATAATGGTGCTTGGCACAGGCTCCCTGGACCACTTGCATGGGCTCTGGACTGGCCCCTGCTCTCCTGTCTCCTGCTGTCACGGTCACAGCAGAAAAGAGATGGCAAATGCAAATGATTTTCTGGGAGGACTTTGGCAAAGGAACTGTTGATAGGTGTGAGATTAAGGGCAAACAGCCAACCAGGGAAGTGGCACCCCAGAAACACCATCCAAGGTCTCAAGGGGGCGGGACCACGTGAACATGCCAGCATAGGCACCATGAACGAGGATGCAGGACCACGTGATCAACCAGAATGGGCACATGAACAAGGGGCGGGGCCACGTGAAGATTGAAGGGATGAGGCCAGGAGCCCCAGAAGCTGAAAAGGCAGGAAGGACCCTCCCTGGAGCCCCAACACCCTGATTTGATACTTTGGCCCCAGAAGGGGGAGAGCACATGTTCCTGTTGGTTGAGGCCAGTCTGTAGTCATCGGAGCAGCAGACCCAGGAAATAGACCTTCCTTGCCCCTCCTTTGGGGCTTTGACCTGGTTCTGGCAGCAGCTGAGCCCTGTGCCCTGGCAGGGTTCCCCCTAGACCTCTCACTGCAGGGTTCACAGAGAGACCCATCCTGTGTCTGTGCCTTGGCCTTGCCTCCTGCTCCCCGGGGCTCCTGGGCAGTGACAGTGCAGTGGGCACACCAGGGCAGGCTGCTTGTTGGCAAGCACAGGCCACGTGACTGAGGGACTCCTTGCCGCCTGGCCCAGCCCCCAGCTGCAGGATGATGCAGCCTCCCCACACCCCTCCATCCCTGCCCTCACCCCCAGGCCTTTCCCCTCATGAGTTCAGCTTGGGCCTCTGCTTCCTGGAGCACCTGGTTTGACAAGAGCCAGCAACTGGGTTGTCATACCCATTTTCTAGATGCCAACACTGAGGCTCAGAGAGGGGAGCAGAGAGCCCTACCCCAGTTCACCTCCCCCTCAACTCAGCCCAGCTCACAGGCAGCTCCACCAGCTGCCACTTGGTTGCCATAGTGTCAAAGAAGGAGAAGGAAGAGGAAGTGGAGGAGGAGGAGGAAGAGGAGGAGAGGCGTTTTTTGAGAATCCAAAAATATACAGTAGCTGGCCCCTCCCCCCTCACTCCCTCTCTCCAGCTTCAAAGCCTCCTTTTGTGCAGGTAATCTGGTGCCTTTTTTTGTCCAGGTGTTATGCCCAAGTGTCATAAACCCCAAAGACTACCAGGGAGCTGAATCCGATGCAATTGCAGAAAGCCTGTATTTATTTCGGACTAGTCCGAGCCCAGTCTCACCCACACCAACGAGGGCATGGGCGAGAAAGAGGAAGAACTTAACATATCAATGGGTTTTATAGGGAGGGTGGTGCTGCTACCTTGGCTGACCTGATTGGTTGGGTTAGGCCTAGGGTCCAGTTACCTGGAGCTGGACCCGCCCCCACCTGCCCTCTCACCCCACCTGCCCTCTCGCCCCGCCTGCCCCCTCACCCCGCCCTGCCCTCTCACAGGCAGCCTAGAGCAAAGGAGGTCAAGGAGGCAGAGGGCCCAGGTAATGGATCCTGGGACCCCAGCCTTACCCAGCAGATTTCCTGGACCTGGGCTCTATCACCCTCCCACAGTTCCCAGACCCGGCGGGCTGTTTCCTGCCTCCCTACCTTTGCACATGCAGTTCCCTCCACCTGGAATGCCCTTCCTCATCCTTCAGGTCCCAGCTTGGCTCTGAGGCCCCTGGAGAACCTTCCCCGAGTCACTTGGGGCTCCGCCTACATCCTGCATTCACCCCAGTCACAGCCGTTTTCTAGAAGATGCTCTCAGGGGGCAGTGAGATGTTGGGATGTGAGCTTTGCCTTTGTGCCCCAGCCCCTGGCACAGACAGGTGCTCAGTAAATCTGGAAGGAAGGGAAGGAAGGAGGGAGCAAACACCTCTCATAGGATTGGAGCGCATCTGGACCATGATCAACTGGCACAGGGCTGGGCAGGAGCCAAGCCCACTCCCTTCCACTGCCTCCCCCTGCGCCTGTCCTCCAGCACCTTCTGCCTCCTCCCATTCACAGCTACCTTAGGGGTTGTCTCCACACCCGCAGGCCCGCATTTGTTTTTCATTTGGATGCGAGGTAATGACACCAGGGGGCTGACATGCACTTGGCTTTATAAAGAGCTTGTGTGTTTGGGAGAAAAGCCTTCATTCTCAGAATCCTGAAATCCAGGAAATCCTGTGCAAACCTGCAATGGCCTGAGGGCTGATCTTGAGCAGGGGTTTTAAAACTGTATACTTATGAACATTTTCAGCAAACATAGCCTTACCTGAGGCCATTATATAAAACTAGAGGCCTGATGCACAAAATACAAGAGTGGGGCAAGCAGGAGGCAGCCGATGGGAGGTGTTCTGTAATCATTGGTATTTCTCTCTCCCTCTCCCTTCCCTTCCGAGATCCATAACATATTAAAAAAAACACACAAAACTTTCTTAAAGGCCGGTAAGCAAAATGGCAAGTGCACATATTTGCACTTTGATACATATGCATATATGCGATTTAATACTTATGCGATTTGATACATAAGGCATTTTGAATAAACATTCATGTCATATTTTCTGAAGGCGTTAACATCATAGATATTTTAACACCTAAAAATGTCGAGTGCAATGCCAAAAAGAAGAGCATTTGCGGGAAGTTTTAGTTCATGACTAATATCCCATCTATGCAAAGAAAAAGCCCAGTATTAATCGATATACCTGGTAACACCACTTTTGTGTTCTTAGATAGCCGCCTTGTGGACATCTCTGGAATTGCGTCGATTGTTTTAAACTTTTTTTTTTTCTTAAGCATGTCAAAGCAAAACTACAGTCAAGTGACAAGTATAGCACAGAGATCTCTCTTCATGAGCAACCTGAAATTACACGTGTGATGCCCTGTGACCCCCAAATACTTTATTTATTTTTTCTCCCCAATACTTCAGGGGCAATTTCCTGTAAACCAGAGCCTTTTTATGTACAACCATCAGCATCTGGATGTGCACGCAGATGCGTGTCTGCCGTCCAGTCCTCTGACAGGATTGCAATGTGGCTTGTTGTCCCAGGAATGCCCTCGGCAGGCGGCCAGCGACCCCGATGCCACCCCCTTCCCGTGAGTGGCGCCCTTTGCATTGAGTCTTCACCTCTCCAGTCTTCCTCCTGGAACCTGTCACAGACTCAAGCGCTTTCACACTTTGCTGAAACAGCGAATATAAATGTCTGGAATTGGGGACCCTGCAGGCTGCAGAGACGCCCCCAGAACGCAATCAGAAGCGGGGACGGAGCCAAGGCGCCCCGGACCTCGGAACCGCAAGAGATGAGGAGCCTGGCTCTTCCATTGTTTCGGCCTGGACAGCGAGCAGCACAGCGAGATTGATTTGCCATCTACATCAATCAATGCTGCCTGCGGGCGGGCGCAAGGCACACTGGGAAGTGCACCTGGCGAAGGCGAGGTACACACCGGGAAGCGCGTCTGGCAGCCACCTAGGGGCATGCCGGGAGGCGAGTCTCGCTTCTGCCGTGGAGCACGCTGGGAAGTGTGTCGGAGTCGCCCCCAACCATTTCCGGAGACGCATCTAGCAGTGAGCGCAGGGCTGGTCGGGAAGTGAGTCAGGGGTTTCCGGCTGGAAAGGACGTCGTTCCCCGGCGCGGAGCACGCCGGGAAGTGTGTCTAATGCCGTGCGTGCGCCGGTTGGGAGAAGGGAGGCGGCGGGCCGGTGAAG